GACATCATCAAGCTAGAACTTGTTGCCACATGAAGCTGAAAACTTCTAAGAATCAAATAAATAGCACTAGCTGTCACTCATGGGTAATAATTCTAAAATGACCTCCTTCAGGGTGTCTTGTCAAAGATGATGGTTTGCATAGTAGATTGGTGGAGACAGGATGTACACTGAGAAAGAGCAATTTCTCAACACTGCTGGTTGAATGAGAAAAGATAGATGCTTGATGGCATCTCGTTGAGCGATTGCTTGAAGTCAGCATATCCTTCTGCATTACAGGACCTGATGGAGTGAACAAAGCCATTGCGGGTGAAGAGGCAACTAAAATAATGCAAAATCATTTCTTAGAACAAATTTGAGTAAAAGAAAAATTAAGTTATAAAAGGAATGTATTATACAAAAACTGTATCATAACAGAAATCAGAAGTTAATTAAAGGGGAAGAACGAAACAAACACATATTAACTACAAGAACAGAACTAACGTGAGAATTAATCAACATGAAACCAACATCCTAAACAGTGTTAATTTTGATAGTTAGAGGAGAAAGAAAAAGAATTGGTGGTAACATGAACAACAATATATATAAATGGCATACGGGAAATTCATCATTTTAGTTATGCAAATCATTTGTTTGTACAAGTAACTTTTTTTACTATAAATATTAATAGGATTTGCGGAGAGTTCACGCTAGGGCCACGACAGCACAGCCAGGGGAGGGCTGCATGCTAGGGACAGTTGAAGTTGAGGCCATCATCTTTCCCTTTTTTTCCCACTCTTTCCAATAACTCCAATAATACTCAAATAATCACAAGTAAAACAGTAATAGTAGATTGGCCAAGTTTGATTCATTAGAGTTGAATTGAAATATTCCCTTTTTTCAAGTTTTTGTTCATGAAATTACATTTGGAAGGTCAATAGTTTGATTGATAACTTTTTGCTTATTTTTTATATTATGTCATATTCCAGATCCTTTGATCCCTCTAAAAAACTCATTGAACAAAAAATCCAAAAAATTTATTCCCTTTTTGCATATATAAGTTTTTGATTTCTTAATTTTATTTAAAAAGTTTATATTATGTTTCTATTTATTTGGAAAATTACGTGCAGATTTTTTATGGTTTTTTTGTATGAGCCCTTCTAAATTTGAAATACAAATACTTAACACATATATTATTGTAGTTAATTTCATTAACTAAATTTAATTACTACTGCCAAAAATTAGCAACCATGAAAAGCCTAAAATTGAAAATGATACTAGTCAAACTATAGGAAAAGCAAACATGATGTTAAGACAAACGTTATAGTTCAGAATAAAAGCCAGCATACACATTCAAAATAGTAATCTTTGGTAATTGAATACGAAAAAAACATACCAACATTTAGACACGATATTCGGAACCTAAAAGAATTAAACCATATGATCCTCATCTTTAATTTACCAGCCTTGTTATACTGGCAACTGACAGGTTAAGCAGTCTTAAATCTGTAAAGCCCAAATAGGCTGTCAATTTAGGCTAAATCGGTTCATCCCATCTCATCCGAAGATGGCCACAACAATCTAGCAACAACTTCAGAAAATATCGATACACAAAATGTTCAGTAATTTGAATACTTAAATCTGCAGATCATGGGTAATGACAGTGCCAACGATTCCATGCCGA